ATAGGGGGGTTTCAAAGCATGCTGATTCCATTTCTTTCACCAAATTTGACGCCGCAGTGGCGGAACTAGTCCAAAAAAGAGGGGGAAAGTTTATTTTTTGTCCGAATTTCTTTAAACTCATCATAGGGGGGTTTCAAAGCATGCTGATTCCATTTCTTCCACCAAATTTGACGCCGCAGGGGCGGAACTAGTCCAAAAAAGGAGGTACCCCCTGTACCAAATTTAAGCAGCATCAGACAAAAAAAAATATTTACCCCCCTTTTGGCCTAGTTCCGCCCCTGCCATGTCAAAACGCATATCAGAAATGAATTCAGCAGCCGTCAAAACCCCAATGTACCAAATTTAAGTGGAATCAGACAAAAACTAATATCTACCCCCCTTTTTTGGCCTGGTTCCGCCCCTGCCACGTCAAAACTGATTGCAGAAATAGATTCAGCGCACACGAAAACCCCTTAGAACGAAGGTGGAGTTTATTCAAGTTATTGGTTTCCGCTTATATTAATTTTGGCCGCTTTTTCGTGGTTTGAGCCCACTGTGCGACGCCAGCTAGCACGCAATTTGTCCGAGGGTGTCGACCGTGCACTTGAGGTGCTTGAGTTCGTGGTGGGGGTGGGGGGCAGTCTCCTGCGCCTGCGCCCTGGTCAGGGTACCATTGGTGGGACTCGCGGACCACCCTGGGCCCTGCGGGGGCCACCTGTGTGCGCCGAGTCGAGTATGTAAGGCGATCTAATGGAGGCTCTGAAGCGTGGCGGCGCGTTTGTCCGAAGGGAGTACCAGAGACTGTCTCTTGCGTTCTAGCGGAAGTGAAGACATGAGGAGTAGAGGGTTGCGTAAAAAAAGGATTTGAGATATTGAAATGGCGGGTATGCGGAAAAGTTGTCTTTTTAGAATTAGAATCCAGTGCAAATTTTTATTTTGAGATCGGACAATATTTTCCGATCGCGCAACGAGTTCAAAGTTATGCATTAGCTCTTATGGGAAAAATCGTCCAAAACCATGAAAAAATGAACATCGCAAATTTGGGCTTTGTATGTGATGTTTTTTAAAAATCTGGTTTCAGAAATGCAATCTACGCCATAAAAGGCATCCACTAATGTGTCACACTTGATATTATAGTGAGCGGTTCAGTGCCGGCCAGGTATCAATTTAAGCCCAAATTGCATCAAATTGCACCAAAGTCATCAAATTATGCAGCCTACACCGCCTAAACCATGGGTTCCAATATCAAGTGTGATACATCACCGGATGCCTTTTTTGGCGTAGATTGCATTTCTGAAAACAGATTTGCAAAAAACATCACGTACAAAGTCTAAATTTTTGATTTTCATTTTTTCATGGTTTTTTACGATTTTCCCCATAAGAGCTAATGCATAACTTGGAGCTCGTTGCGCGATCGGAAAATATTGTCCGATCTCAAAATAAAAAATTGCACTGGATTCTACATCTAAAAAGACAACTTTTCCGCATACCCGCCATTTCAATATCTCAAATCCTTTTTTTACGCTACCCTCTAATGAGGAGTAGTTCGAATAAAGAGAACGAAATCGTTCTTTCCAGTGTCTGCCATATAATTTTATTTCTTTATTTCTTTCTATATTTATTTTTCTCTCATTCATGTCCCAAGAGCAAGAGCTCCGGGGTGGTATTTTTACAGCATAGTGATTTCGGCGTCCATTCAGACTTGGTCAGATTAACAATGACAGTTGTAGTAAAGTTAAGTGCATTGTGATATTTGGACACCGCGCGCAAAAGCTACGAGGTATTCTGTAATGTATTCAGCAATGAAATAACGAACCCTACTAGGGTTTTGGAACAGTTCTAGCTTCTGCCACCACGCATCCGTAAACGTTTTCAGCTTTGCCTATCGAGAGTCTGAATCTATAGCGCCCATAAGGCACGATTGGGACACTTGGAAAAGTCCAGTCTACTGGCGTGTTATTAACCTTGTAAACTCCCTGTAGATTGAAGTTTCTACAGTTTATAAGATTGTAATTACTATGTGTCTGGAGCCGCAATTATGAAATATCAAACAGAATAAATACGTAACAGGATTGCGAGAGCAAATTACTTGCAATCTAAGTACTTACTGGTCTGAGTATGCACCTGCCTTTAGTTTCTTGCATCATTTGCATCTTAAAGAACTGCTCGTAAAATCCTGGCATATAATCCACAAGAGCGCGACATGCACCTTTTTTGAAGTTTATGATAAAGGCGTTCTCTTTCCATTGGTTGTTTGCCCAGAGATCGACAATTACTCTTGACTGTAATAACAGAGATTTGAGGCTTCTCAAATTTGCATTTTTACAGCGTCTGCTGTTAGCCATGTGAACGAATTTGATTGTTGATTTGCGAAGGAATTGACAGTAAGCTGCAAACGGGCTAACTCAACTAAAATTATTGTCACATTTTCGGCATTGTCTTTTCAAGAAGTGGACATAATCGTAAGCGAGTGATTACTACGAAGATAAATAAAGTATAGTGAATTTTCGTTACCCTCAGAAATATTAGCAAACTATGTCTCTATTGAGGTGCATCACTCTCTACCAGTGCCTCCAAAATTGCAGGCTGGTGCGGGCTTCTCCCTCCTCTGCCCATGTTAAAGCATAGCCGCAAAAAAAAAGAAGCCCACAACAGCCTTCCCTTTTGGATGCACTGCTCTCTACATCCCTCTTCACACTTTGTCTTAGTCTCTTCAAAACATTACTAAGTATATGAGAAACAGAACCCAACCCTAATCTTTTAAAGTATAAATACGTTTTTCTATGTAAATTAAGATTTGTTAATTATCTATATACTTGTGCAAGTAATGCGACCCGTTAGCTCCCCCTGAAATATTAAAGACTTGAATATTTCGTGAATTTGTATCATCTGCTTTCACGAGTTGTTCCTGGACGAAACTTTTTTTACCGTGTGGTTTGAGCACTACCCGGTGATATGGTAACAGCAATTCTGTGTACTTTGTTTTCCTAAAAATCACTCACTCACGCTCATGTCCTGTTAAAAATTAATGCCTGAAAGGTAAAAACTAGCTATATGTACGCCAGACCACGCCTCGCGTAACAGGATTCGCGATATCTCACGAAACTTCGTTACGCTGCAACGCGCCTGGCGCACATATAGGCCTGCGGCGCTGACCCCCGAGAGGAGTTAATAGGAATGTATACGGCAGTAGGGCCTACTAGCCACAAAATTTGACATGCTCACAGCATTTTCCGGTGACTTTTTATTCTAAAATTAGAGAAATGAAACTTCTGATATTCTATGAAGATATTCATTAAATGTTGTAATTTGACAGAAACACACGGAAAAAAAGAGCCAAGAAAGTGACAGGCCAAAGTGTCTTAAAAGTGTAAAAGAAGTATGCAAAAAGTATGAAAAAAGTTTGCCTAAAGTGCCACTAAAGTGTTGCGGTTCCAATCTGCTATATTTTAAGTATACCTAATGTATACTTTTTACAAAAGTATACCCGAAAGTGTCATTTGGATATACTTATTTCCATGCGGGGATTGTTATGTAAAAATCAACGTTTTAGTGATAGTAGATAAGCTAGGGACCCTTGAGCTTGAGCCCAAAGGAGGGTGTGGTTCGACGCCGAATGTGTGGTGAAAGTATTACTTCCTTTACAATTTCATCGATATGAAGCCTTTTTTACGATTTAATGTATCATTAGGTCATTTTCACCTTATTTTTGCCAAAAAATGCCCCCTAACACCCAAACGGTACAAGATATAGCAAAACGGACGAAATTTTTGATCAAGCGGTTCTACTTTTTGGAGTTACCCCTTGAAAACCCATAAAAAAATATTTGGAAAAATAATACATTTTGCGACCTGTGGTTTTTGATTTTTTTTAAAGTCAATTTTTGAGCTAGAATGCTTATCTTCGACCTCGATCTGTCTTTTTATGATACAAAACTACCCCGGAATTCCCAGATCGCTCTCTCAATTCCTTCTCGAGTTATCGTGCGTACAGACCGACAGACAGACAGACGGACAAACAAACAGACAGAATGAAGCTTTTTCGGTCAGTGGAGTCCTGGGTGTATGTAGTTGTCATTTAACACGAATGAGTGTGGACATGATTGTCAATGTTTTTCATGTGTACCATATACGGCTGCCATATACACCTTGGTTAGAGCCGGTGACATTTACATGTAAGTGCCTGGATGTCACACCACTTTTTAAAATGTCTTACCCAGCAGCTGTCATCAATAGCTACATTTACACCAGTCACATTGCC